AGAAGCGCGGGTAGGTGAGAGAATTCACCAGAGCCAGAGCGGGGAACAGAACAGGCAGACCGACGAAATACACCGTTGAGGGAGCAGCAGGCACAGTATGAGAGGTCTACGTACCATGTGGGATGCTCGCCAGTGGCCGGGGATCGAACTGGCGCTGTAGAGGCTGCGGGGCCGCTTCGCAGCCCAGTGCTCAACCGTTGTGCCACCGGGGAGGACCCATAAATAAATCTTTTTAAAAAATCAAGATGAAACAAAAAGCAATCCATGGCAGTTATTATTAGATAAATAAGAATATCAGGTACAGCAGGGCTGGCTGATCCTTCTAGGACAACATGTATACACTTGGGAGCGAAGAAAATGTTTCCTGGCTTTTAATTTAATGTGGAAGAATATAAATATGCCAGTCTGAAAGTCACCGGTCCTAACCTGATGAGGACAAGGACTTCCTATTTCCATGGAGACCCTTGAAAACAATGCCAAGTCTGGGCACAGGTTACTGCTGGTGACTTCTCACCCATAAGCACAAAATTATAATAAGAAATAACTCAGGATCATTATGACTAAGACTTCAAATGATGTGCTGCCTTGCACCAGATCGTGTCTGCAGTGTCCAGTCATCCAAAAAAAAGGCCAACATACAAGATGGCCGTGTCCCCTGGATGAGACCCAGGAGCTGGAATGTGGTGGACCAGGGCCCAACCATGATGGCAGCAGGAGGTGATCACAGATGGGACTGCTGAGGTGACACAACAGCAGCCAACAGTTCCAGTCTGAAGGTCACTGGACAGCACCAGATGCTGAGTACGCAGCACTGGGTGTAAGAACACCAGGAGGCAGTGGAGGATGAGAAGTGGTGCAGGGTCTCAGAGGTGGCTGGTACAGGTTAGAGTGCTGATCACTGGCCATAATGCTGGCCAGCTCTGGTCCACAAGGAATGGCACCAGAGAACGGTAGCAGTGTTACAGCTCTTACAGATGCTTGTGCCAACAGCAGTTGTCTTAGAGACATCAAGCACAGGCCGGTGGTGCTCTCTGCAGGCAATATTAGAGGCAGGGCTGGAGGCACATGCCACCCTCAGGCTGCAGATCAAAGTGGAGATCAGATGCAAAGGTCTGGGAAGGCCTGTGGGAAGGTCTGTGATGGTCTGTGTCCCAACTCATCTTCCTGATGAAGCTGTCTGTGAAAGTCTCTTTCCAGGATCCCTGAGACATCTGATCTGAAGCCATCTTATGAATGGGCCCAATCTGGCTGTTCCCATGTTTTACATCCACCTATAGGGTGCGAGCCATTCAAGCCTGGAAGGTCCATTTACAATTCCAGCTGTTTGATTGTTGCTCATGAGCTTAAACTTGGTTTGTCTGTTTACATTACTGGGTGACATTGGAATGTGAAAATCTACCACAATTCAAAGAAGACCTAGGCTGAAGTTGGGTGGTCTTGGGCAGCTGTGGGTCCTACAGTCGAGTGGGAATGGAGTCATGCAGAGAGCCCAGATGCTCACTGTGTCCGCCTTGCTTCAGCGGGACCAGAACTCTCCTGAGTATCCAGGGCAGCTGCAACACAGTCCAAATCCAAGGTCAGGTGTGCAGGTTTGGGAGACTTGCAGTGCCACCAAGGATTGTGCTGTGGGTCAAGGCAAGTGTCACTGCTATTGCAGCCCCACAGCTGGCCCAAAGGCTGCTTGCTCAGGCTGGCCCTGAAATCAGGCAGCAGAGGCAACCTGACTTGAACTGGTCACACCATATGACAGCCTAACCCAGGGATGTGCTGCAGGGAGTGACTCTGAGGACAGAGGGGGGGGGGGCCTGTGCCAGGGGCTGCCCTGGAGGAGCCTGGGCCAGGACATCAGCAGAGAGGAAGCAGAGCCCCGGTTGAGCAAAGCAGCAGCTGCCAGGGGTGCCTGCTCTTGGCTGAATAGAAAGGAGTTTTTGTCTCACTTCCCCACAGGCCTGGAGCACTGTGGACCACTCAGACTGCTGTCCCAACTTGCACAGTAATAATCAGCCTCATCCTCAGTCTGGAGTCCAGTGATGGTCAGGGTGGCTGAGCTGCCAGACTTGGAGCCTGAGAATCGACCAGGGACTCCTGAGGGTCGATTGTTTATTACCATAAATCAGGTGTTTGGGGGCTGTTCCTGGGAGCTGTTGGTACCAGTGCACACCATTTTTCCAGATGTTGACACTGCCTCCACTGCAGGAGATGGTGACCGTCTGGCCCAGGTTCCCAGAGACTGACTGTGGCTGAGTCAGCGCAGACTGGGCCCAGGATCCTGGAAGGGAGAGAGACAGGAGATGGCGATGCTGGCACAAGAGGATTCATCAGGCCCCCATGCAGCTTCTGTCCCCAAATTGAGTTTCCCTGTGCAAAACGAGAGAAGCACTAGGAGGCGAGGCGTCCAGGCCATGGTGCTCTCAGCCCCTGAGGTCAACATGGGTCTGGGCTGCCCCCAGGCCTCCTTTTCTTCCCCCACCCTCTGCCACAGGAGGGGCTGTGCATGCAAATTGTTCACCCGGGGACTGCCCAGCCCTCCCTGAGCCCTGGTGGTGGGGCTCAGTTCATACCCCACATTGAGCAGGAGGGAGGTTGGCTTTACCCTAGAGAAAACTGTGGGAGGAAGCACCTGCTGGCACCACACACAGGTCCCTGCTCAAGGGACTGTGCCAGCCCAGAAGACAAAGCTAGTGAGAGCCCACATGGATTCAGGGCTCAGACCCTCAGTACTCAGGCATTTCTGCATAAATAATCCTTACTATACAGTGCTCAGGACCCACAGGACAGCCCCAAAGCGACCCTTGCTGGTCACAGGGCACACACTCACCAAGACCCAAAGCCCTGGGAGCCCAGCTGATCACTGTGTAGGTCACGCTCCCAGAACTCACTCACAGGCTGTGAGACACGTCGTGCTGCACAGGGTTACTGAGGCTCCCCCACGCTCTGTGGCGACCTGGTGGACGAGATGCTGCATGGACATAAATAACCGCTTATTTTTTGTGACCACAGAAGACACTGTAAGCATCATATTCTCCCACTGGTAGACATTATTTGAATTTGGATGCATTTCAGTTTCCCAAAATCATATGTTTTAAAGCAATGCACTACAACTACTCTCCTCTGTACATTAGTTTGCATCTATCTTTACCTCTATTTTTAGTGAATTTAATCATTTTACTTATTCACAAAGTGAAGGAAGAACAATCAATTTATTATTGATGTCCAAATTATTTTGCAATGTGTAATGCTTTTGGTGTCTTATTAAAAATTTTTACAAACATTTTCAGGGATGCTTTCTTCAAATTTTTTTTTTTAATAGAGGCATGTTTTATTTATTTATTATGTTTGTTTGTTTATACATGCACTGGGTACAGTCAGAAGTGCAGGAGGGTGAGAGAATTCACCAGATCCAGAGGGGGAGCAGAGCAGGCACAAGGACCGAAGTACACAGCTGAGGGGAGCAGCGGGTGGCAGGAGAGGTCTGCCCGCCAGGTGGGACCCGCCTCAGTTGGCCAGGGAGCAGCCGGGGATCGAACCTGCGCCGCAGAGGCCGCGGGCAGCTTTGCAACCCAGCGCTCAACCGCTGCGCCACCGGGGAGGCCCATTCAAAAAAAAATTTTTTTTTATTTTGCAGTTAATTCCTTCAACTGTTTAAGTGAATTTTTTATGAGCCAAGAGATTTAGGTCATTCATTGACCCCAGTGTAGCTGCAATTTTTCTATCACCTTTTGTGGAAAGACTGTCCTTGTCTGGAAGACTTTTGCATGTTTGTCAACAATGATCCCTGTGTTACTGGGTCTATTTCTGCATTTCTATTCTGTTACAATGACATACGTGTCTATCCCTGATCTAAACTGTCTATCTTGTTTCAATAGAAACTTATATAAACATTAAGTCAATTTAAAAATAATTGATAATTTGCCAAGGTGAGTCTTCTCTCTACAATGGGACGCATCTACACTGATGTCAATCACTTAGATGACACTTACCTCCACTACCGCCACTAGCCAGTTTTCTGCATGAATGTTTTTACATCATTTGATAAATGTACTCACAAATATTTCAGTTTGACAGATGTTAGCTAGCATTGCAAGTTAGTTTTCGTTTTCCCTTTTGTACCTAAAAAATGCCCGTGCACCTACATAATATTTTTACTGTTCTGGTATTATAGAGCCTTCTGGGAATTATGTATGACTCTTGGAATATATAAATATATAAATTTTTAGCTGCTTTTGTATATTCTATGCTTTGCATCATCTCCTCTGTAATAAAGGGGACACATGTGTCCTGTTTTTTGAGTCTGTGGACTTCGTGGATTTTCTTGCCTGTGGTCCTGCAGGATCATCCAGTTCAGGTTGAAGGGCAGTGGTGACCGTGGACGTGCTTGCCTGGAGCAGCTCTAGGGGGAGCGTCTTGGCGTTTCACCTTAAGTGTGACCTGAGCTGCAGGGACCCCTAGTTCCCTTTAACCACTGAGGATGCTGCACTGGCTGCCTCCTTTTCTCTGTTGGTTGTTCTCATGATGGGGTTGACATTTATAAATGTCTTTTCCATTTGATTGATTGATAACATCCTGTGATTTTTCCTCTTCAG